CAAATGAGCGCTTATTTTCTAGGCTTGTCAAAATCCTGCAAGCTTTCATGTCTTTGAATCGCTGATGATTGAGAACAAACAGGGTGTTTGAGGAACCAGGATACGCTTTAAAAATAGTCCTGCGAGGAAAAAGGAGGAATGAGCCGTTTCTTCTGATGTGTGGGGCTGAAGAAGCCCTGTCTTTAATTAGCATCTCGGAATTAAAAACATTTGTGAGAACAATATACTGAAGCTGCATTTCTGAGTCTAACTTCTGAGTCTGTTTATTAAATCACATTTATTTTCACAGATTCATTATTCCTGTTCTAGAGATCCTCTTGTGATTTAAACAACATAGTATTAACAATTAAAAACGGAAAATTAGATCATTAACATAATGACTGACATATAATAATAATAATAATAATTATTATTATTATTATTATTAAATTATTTTATTATTATTGCATTTTATTATTATTATTATTATTATTGATATTATTATTATTATTACTAGTATATTTATATTATTATTGTTAAAAAATTATAATAATAATAATAATATGTATTATAATTACTATCATCATCATTATTATTATTATTATTATTATTATTATTTTTATTACTGCGTCAAGTAATAATAATAATAATAATAATAATAATAATTATTATTATTATTATTATTATTAAATTATTTTATTTTTATTGCATTTTATTATTATTATTATTATTATTATTACTAGTATATTTTTATTATTAATATTGTAATAATAATAATAATAATAATAATAATTATTATTATTATTATTACTATTATTATTATTATTATTATTATTATTATTATATTTTATTAATATTATTTTATTTTTATTTATTTTTATTTATTTTCACAGATTCATTATTCCTGTTCTAGAGATCCTCTTGTGATTTAAACAACATAGTAATAAACAATTAAAAATGGAAAATTAGATCATTAAGATAATGACTGACATATAATAATAATAATAATAATAATAATAATAATAATAACAATAATAATACAAAAATAATAATAATAAGTATTATTATTGTTATTATTATTAATAATACATTATTTTATTATTGTTGCATTTTATTATTATTATTATTATTATTATTTTACTAGTATATTTTTATTATTAATATTGTTATTATAACAGCAACAACAACAACAATAATAATTAATAATAATAATAATAATAATAATAATAATAATATGTATTATAATTACTATCTTTATTATTATTATTATTATTATTATCATTATTACTGCGTCAAGTAAAAGTAACTTAAAAAACATTTAAAATTCCATCTAAATTAAATATCTTAAATACAGTGTACTTTCTGAAAATACAGTGTCACCATCTTTGTGCTGTGCAGAGAGTAGTCGAAATGACAAAATAAGCACTGACGGATGATATGAATCAAGCCAGTTAAAATCTCTGTGAGCTTTGTGGGATATCAGACATGACGTAACCTCCATCACTTACACACACACACACAGAGAGAGAGAGAGAGAGAGAGAGAGAGAGAGAGAGAGAGAATGAGAAAGCTCCATTGTCATGTCGTACACTAATGCTTGGTAATCCTCAGTACAGGCTTACATAAAGGCCTCTGTCAGATCTCACAGTCTTCACAAAGCCTCTTCTGCCTCAGTCTTACTCTCATCATCCTCACTTATAGGGCTCTTGGACATTCATTAATCAGTTACAATATAGCTAATTTTGCATTTCACAGAAAGAGCATAGACATAAATGCAACAAAATGTTGTTAGGATTAAGAGAAATACTGGTAGCTTCTCAAACTGGACATTTGACTGCATTAACATGCATTGGACTTGCATTAACTTGTAAAGTGAGTAAACTTGTGAAGTGTGTTAACTTGTCAACTATATGAACTTAGAAATTGTAAAGTGTGTAAATGTGTAAATTGTGTAAAGTTGTAAAGTGTGTAAATGTGTAAAGTGCATTAACTTGTAAAGTGTGTAAATGTGTAAAGTGTGTTGATTATCAAATTGCGTTAACTTGCCAATTGTATAAAAGTATACATTTGTAAAGTGTGTTAACTTGTAACGTGTGTAAACTTGTAAAGTGTTAACTTGTCAATTGTATAAACTTATAAACTTGTAAGGTATGTAAACGTGTAAAGTGCATTAACTTGTAAAGTGTGTAAAACATAAAGTGTGCTATCTTGCCAATTGTTTAAACCTATAAACTTGTAAAGTGTGCAAATTGGTAAAGTGCGGAAACTTGTAAAGTGTGTAAACTTGTAAAATGCACCAATTTGTAAAGTGCGTAAACATTTAAAGTTTGTAAACATGTAAAGTGTAAAAACTTGTAAAGTTTGTTTACTTGTAAAGTGTGTAAATTTGTAAACTGCGTAAACTTGTAGTGGTAACTTGTCAGTTGTATGAACTTATAAACTTGTAAAGTGTGTAAACGTTTAAAGTGCTTTAACTTGTAAAGTGTATTAACTTGTAAAATAAGTAAATTTGTAAAGTGAGTAAACTTGTAAAGTGTTAACTTGTCAATTGTATGAACATATAAACTTGCAAAATGTGTAAACGTAAAGTTCTTTAACTTGTAAAGTGTGTAAACATGTAAATTGTATTAACTTGTCAATTGTATAAATGTATAAACTTGTAAAGTGCGCAAATTTGTAAAGTGTGTTAATTTGTAAATTGCGCAAACTTGTTAACTGTGTTAACTTGTCAATTTTACAAACTTATAAACTTGTAAAGTGTGTAAACTTGTAAAGTGTGTGAATGTGTAAAGTGTGTAAACTTGTAAAGTGTTAACTTGTCAATTCTATAAACTAATAAACTTGTAAAGTGTGTAAACGTGTAAATTGCTTAAACTTTTAAAGTGTTTAAACGTGTAAATTGCTTTAACTTTCAAAGTGTGTCATCTTGTCAATTGTAGAAACGTACAAATTTGTAAAGTGCTCAAAATTGTAAAGTGCTCAAATTTGTAAAGAGCGTAAACTTGTAGTGCGTGAACTTGTCAATCATATAAATTTATAAACTTGTAAACTCTGCATACTTGTAGTGTATAAATGTGCAAATTGTGCAAACTTGTAAAGTTCATTAATTCGTCAATTAAATACATTTATAAACTTGTAAAATGTGTAGACTTGTAAAGTGTGTGACCGTATCAATTGTATAAATTTATAATTTTGTAAAATGCATAGACTTCTGATTAAATTGTAAAGTATGTAAACTTGTCAATTTTACAAATGTTTTTAAACTTGTGAGGTGCGCAAATTTGTAAAGTGTGTAAAGTTGTAAAGTTGTAAAATGTGTGAACTTGTCAATTGTAGAAATTTAAAAACTTGTAAAATGCAAAACCTTTCATTGTTTTCATCTGGAAAGATATTTGTGTGTTGCTGATCATCCTGTGTGTATTCAGCAGTGTGTAAGCGTTTGGACCTGCATAGGCTCATAACTAACATGCTCTGCTGGACTAGAGCAGCTTTGAGTTGGTCAATGGTGCGGCCTATTTCAGTTCCTCAGAATAGCAGCGCTCCAACAATGCGCCTCAACACACCTCCATTATAGACTAGCACACACATGAGTCCACAGAGTGGCGCAAATACAGGGCTCAACAATAAGGACTGCCCGGTGGCCCAGGGCCAGCGTGAGAGACACTTGGGACAGTAGACAGGATCATTACTGGCCCGATTGGGACAGTGCTTCCTTGTCACTAAAGTTTCATTTGCCTGCAACTTTTTGTCAATTGCGTGCATTTTAAGTTTGTGTTTTTGAGTCTTTAAATGCTATCTTCTCTGTGATGTCGTAGATACTATATTGCTTTTCGGTTCCTCTTGATGTTTTGAGCATGCTGTTTTTCCCCATAACCTGGTGACAATCAGTACAACGAAGAAACGGAAAGATGGTGAAAACATCACACTATAAGGCTAAAAGAAAATCATCTTGGAAGCAGACATTTACGTGGGAACAAAACGACAAATAAATGAAGTGATGTTTTGCAGTTTGCCATCAGCTTGGCAAGTCAGCCACCTTTTGTTAAATAATTTCGAACTGCAATGAAACCCCTCCACATTTGCCATACTCCTCTTTTTGTTTGCATAACACTTAGAATTTTGCTCATTAACCAATTATTAACTTTTTTAAATATTGAAATGCTAGATTCATAGACGTTATTTTTGACACATCATTTAATATATGTGGCTAAAAAAAGCTATTAACTTCTCTTCTTTTTTTTTTGGTGGGGCCAGTAAAAATTAGTAAAAATCTAAACCACTGGCCCGGTCAGATCAGTAAAAAAAATTCTTAGCGTTGAACCCTGAAATGGATTTATTACATAAACAATGTAGAGCAAAACCTGAAAATTACTGTTGCGCTGTTCCGAAAATAGCAACAAATCACGCCAAACACGTCTTGCGCCTTATTGCGCCGGGTGTATGATGAGGTCTATAAAGTGCACAAACTTGTAAAGTGTGTTTACTTGTTAATTTGATTAATTTATAAACTTGTAAAGTGTGTTAACTAGTAAAGTCCGTTACCATGTAAAGTCTGTGACTTTGTAAAGTGTGTTTACTTGTAAAGTTGGTCATGGTTTTACTTTGCGCCGTCTCTTTCAGTGTTAGCGCTGCTAACTTGCAAGCTTCAGGTTTTACAAGTTCAAGCTTTTAAGATTTCAGTGCAAGGCGCAATAGAAACTCAATGCTTGGGCACATTCAATAACAAAAAGAGATTTGTGTGTGTGTGTGTGTTACAGTATAAACCCAATCAAATAGAAAACCGTGACCACTGAATCAATACAAACCGCACTGAAAATTTAGTGAGCCATACCACCCGTACACACATCCTATAGATCTACACATTTCTCAAATGTTGTACCACGGACCCTCAAACAGTACACAAGTTCAAACTAAGCCACAGTTTAACCACAGTACAGCAGAAAAACCCAGCCTCTAGAGGGGTATTTGCTCATGCATTACAGAGCAGCAGTCCAGTGAAGATGGAAGAGGATAAAACTCACCACATAGAGCTGCTTCCAGAGGACTGACCACTCCTGCAGAGTTGAGGTGACCTCTGTAATGATGGGGTCTTCCAGAGGGACCACCGTCTCATACTGCCTGCACAGAAACAACACACAATCACCAGAGGTTAGCATGACTGTATCCCAAAACAATCTTTGATTAGTCAGACATCAGATACAGTATGTTGCTTTCATTCTTGACTAGTGTGTGCAGTACACTACAGTTAAAGTATGTAAGTGAGGATGGCTAATTAAGCAAGCTGTGATATTTTATACGCTATGCTCAGGTGAGTGGGTTTGACAAACCACCTGTAGAAAACACACCTTAATCTCGATATGTGACACACTTTCTTAAAATCAGTACACGTTAGAGGTGTGAACCTACACTGGTCTCACGGTTCGGTTTGGTTATGATAATTATGCCATCGATTTGATTCAATTCGATATATCGGTGCTTCACGTTGCATTGACGATGCTTTCCAAAAACAATCTGATATTTTAATTCACAGCACAACAGTTTTTGTATTAAAGAGCCCATATTATGGGCTTTTGAAAATGCCCTTCCATGTAGTGTGTAACACAGCTCTAAGTGAAGTGAAGTATCCAGCTAAGGCTTAAATCTGTTAGTGTACAGTGTTAAAAACTGTTGATTCATCTATAAAAGAGTCGACTCATAGTGCTTCAAATGAGTCGCCTTGATAACGAGTCTTTAGATGTTTCGCCATGACATACGAACGAAACCAAGTTATTCACGTGCACGCGCAAACCCGGGAGATTTGAAACCTGCGGCCCCGCCCTCTAACACAGAAACCCACACACACACCCACAAACACACACACACACACACACACACAAACATGCCGGTCGATTGAAGTCACACTGCAGATGGATATTGAGTCTCTACCCAAAGATGAAACCTCAGCATTATAGCCAAGCCTTGAACTGTTGGAAACTACTGGAAACTTCTGGAAACTACATGCTACAAAGAATACTCCATCGGCGTTTGTTAAAGGAAGGATCAGTAAAGAGTAACTTACTGATGGACATGTCAGGATGGGTTTCTTCCTCCATTTCTCAAGTGTAAGTATGTGCGATTAAAGTTGTTGCCTCGTTGACTCTAGCTTGCAAATGTATTTAGTTGTGATTTGTTAATTGTAACCACGTGTACTGTATCAGCTTAACGCGCTATATTCTCATATCGCGTGCAAAGCCACGTTAAAAACGCGACGCGTGCTGCTTTGTTTACGTTCGGTGGAGGAGGGTAATGTGTGTGTGTGGGTGTATGTGCGCGCGCTGTCGTCCGGAGGTGTGTGTGTGTGTTTGTGCGTGTGCGTGCGCGTTGTCGTCAGGAGGAGGGTTATGTGTGTGTGTGTGTGTGTGAGCGCGTGTGCGTGCGCATTGTCGTCCGGAGGAGGGTTATGTGCGTGTGTGTTTGTGCACGCAAGGACGAGGGCAATGTGTGTGTGTGTGTGTGTGTGTGTGTCTGTGTCTGTGAAAAAAGCAGAGTGAGACAAGCTAGGAGATCTCCTCGACAGTTTTTGGAGTTTTTGCTCAATAAAATAGTTAGTCGTCTGTATTTTTAAGTCCATCGTCTGTATTTACATTGACCCACTGGCAGCTAAACTCCACGCCTACACTATCGAGCGTGTATGAGCTGTGACTACTTCTATATTGCTGATTAGCTGTTGGGCATTTCACTCTCTCACTGAAGGCAGTCGACCAATCGCAACAGACTGTCATTGGTCCAATCAGCACAGGTTAGCTTCGCGCTTAGGAGGGGTTTGGGAACAAATGAATCACTGGACGATTCATACAGGAGTCGCTGGGATAATTAGGTAAAAATAAATGCAGATTATAAGACCATGAAAGTGTTTTTTGACCTTGCATGCATATTAGACTGTTGCTGGAGACCCTTACAACCAAAATATGACCCTATTTTATGTATAATATGGGCTCTTTAATATCTTCAAATATATTTCTATTGTATTTGTAATACAATTTTGTCCTTTAATACAAGCAGTCAGATATATGAACTGTACATTTAAAAACTCACGTACGCACAGAACAACATGAGCATTTATAGAAAATAAACAAATATAAATATCCCCTTCGCCTTCTGAGTCCTGTCGAGCGAGCGGTTAAATCCCTGTGATTGGTCACATGCTTAACAGAAAGGACTGTTGCAGCAATCACAGCTGATCCGTAATAGACGGGGGAGGAGAAAACTAGCTTTGCAGACATGTCATGTCTGGATCCACAAACATTACTGTAACAGCCAAGAGGAGAGGAAATATTAGCAGCAGGTCAAAGGTCGAGGGAGAGAAACAGAAATGGAGTTTACTTTCATTTTCTCACTACGCTGTAAAAAAATCGGCTGTGATTTCAACCGTAAACTGTTAAAATGCTACAGTAAAAAAATCCATAACCTGGTCAACAGTATGATTGTTAATATATACGGCGAATAACCGTAAAATGAATTTCCCAGAATTCCCTGATGGCACATAACTTTTTATGCTTTTTGTTGACATTAATATGGATCTTTTTAGTTGTTTCCCCATCAGTTATGTACATTAGAGATTTATGTTACATCTAATGTTGATAAACAATGTTGATTGATACAATAAATCGTAATCTTTTGGTAAATAAATTAGAAAGGTATGGTATTAGAAGAGTAGCCTTGAACTTGATAAGCAGTTATTTAAAAACTAGGTGACAGTTCGTGGAAATTGTCAACCTTAAATCATCATATCTAAATGTTAAAAGGGGCATACCACAATGATCAGTTTTAGGTCCAATATTGTTTATAATTTACATTAATAATATGTGTAAGATTTCAGAGTTAAGTTTATTTTATTTGCAGATATGAGTATTTTGTGAGAAAAACAGAAATTAATAAATTGAAATTATGGGTTGACGTAAACAAATTGTCATTAAATATAAGTAAAACAAAGGTTGTGTTATTTGGGAAATTAAAAAGTAGTCAAAATATAGATTTACATATTGACAATGAATTTATAGAAAAAGAGCCTATGCAATGAAGTTTCTTTGTTGTTTTATTGGATCGTAAAATTAGTTGGAAACAACAAATAAATAACGTAATATCAAAATAAGTAAAAACTGTAGCAATAGTGTATAAAGCAAGATTTATCCTGGACAATAAATCAATGTATATATTTTATAACACACTTATGTTGCATATATGAGTTATTGAGTTGAAATTTGGGGAAATACAAATAAATCAAATTTACGAAACTTAAGTACAATGCAGAAAAAAGTAATCAGACTGATAGAAGGTGTGAGGTATTTGAAGCATTCAAATTCTTTTATTTTTTTAATTAAAGATTCTCAAGTTTAATAATTTGGTTTAATAAAAAACAGCACAATTTATGTCTAAAGCTAGGAATAAATTACTTCCAAAATGTATAAAAAAAAATAAAAAAAAAGTTTTTTTGAAGAAAGACAAGGGGGATATAATCTGAGAGAAAACCTGAATTTTAGGAGGTTGAAAACAAGGACAACTTTAAAAAGTTTGTGTATGTCTGTCTGTGGTTTGAAATTATGGAACAATCTAAGATCAGACTCTCAAACAATGTCAGCATAATAATCAGTTTAAAAAGTTGTATAAATATATATTATTAATGGAATATAATGATAAAGGTGATTGAAAAAGGATAAAATGAGAAAGGTATGATGAAACTTAATTAAATTAATGCTATTTGCAGTACTATGTATTTTTTAATGCATATGGATCTAAACATATAATATGTAAAAGATGCTGAAAGGATAAAATATGTCTCATGTAAAAAAAAAGAGATGAGTAAAAGAAGAAATGTTGAATTAATTGACGAATGAAGTATGTGGTAATGGGATGGGAAAATAATAAGCTTGTGCTTCATCCCACTCCATTTTCGACCATGTTGAAATGTATTTTTGGTTAACGATATTTTATGTATACGAAAATAAATAAATAAATCAAATAAAATCAAAATGAAATCAAAAAAATAAACAATGTTTATTTCATGACTTTAATTTTGTTCATGTTACCATACTGCTGTTTTCTAAACACTGCCAGCAGGAAAAGTTGTATGTGATGAGCATTGGTTCATTATGTAACTTTCTTATGACCGCCTGCATATGGCTGTGTTAACGTGTCTATCTGTGTAATTAAAGGTGTGTAAATGTTGGTAATTCAAAATACAAACATATTACGTCTATAAATAATGAAATACGGTAGTTTACTGTAAAAATTTGAAATTACATTTACGGTTTGTACCGTATTTTTAACAGTATAATACTGGCAAACACAGCTGCTGTTTTTTACCGTAAATTTTACGGATTTACTTTTTACCATATGTTCACACCAAAAGCGGCGAGAGCGTCAAAGTAGCCGGAAGTCATTCGTTTTCAATGTGAGCCGGCGGCGAGGAGCAACGCAACGCGTCTTCGCCGGCGTGGGCGTCGAGGAGAGTTGAAATCAAGTCAACTTTATGGTAATGAGCTATGACACGGTTCGGCGGCAAGCAATCAAGAATGAACACGTCCACCGCTTGATAGGAGTTCAGATAACACGGACCTGTGAACTTTGTTTCTGACCACAGTTGTTCCCAAGGGTTTGATTATTGCGGTCGCCGGATTTCCAATTATTTACAATGTTTTCCTACAGGAACATGCATTAAATAAGTTACTGGCGAGTTACTGATGTTCATTAATGTTATATAAATTTATCTTAAAAAAGCGGGAATCTCACGCGACGTGACAGTACAAAACAGTACTGCTGCTTCAGGATATTTCAGACATATGGACACATATTGGATGAATAGAGCAAAGCCACACCACACGCAACTTGATCTTCCATTGTTGTATGAATTTAATAAGAAGTGCGCAACATTTGCACGCTAGAAACATGTCTTATGCAGGAATGTAACTGATATGCTGCAACGGCTCCTTTAAATACAAGATCAATGTAGCGGGTTTTGACGCTCTCTCCGCCGGAGCTGAAAGCAGTCAGCGTTGTCGCCAGGGCGGCCAGAGCGACCTTGGACGCTCTCGCCGCTTTCGGTCTGAACGTACAGTTTCAGTGTAGCTGTGAAATAGGGG